AACACATCATCATCTTTGCATAAACTTTGTAGCTGTGAGTAATAGCATGCTGTCCAGCGGCTGCTATCATCCATCATTAAGAAGTAAACTGTGCTGATTAACAAAAAATTGTAAAAAAATGGAATGGTGTATTGCCACTTGGTTGTTTACCTGTAGAAACAGGGAACACTAAATGAGTTTTAAAAAGACTTCAGATATATTTTAAAATGTACAGAATAATAATTTCATATTTATGTATTTGAGGGTGTACTTACAGCTTCAATCAATCTTGTAGCTAAATAGTGTTGAAAATAAATTTACTTAAAAATAGTGTAACTGTTTCCTTCTGTTCTTAAGCACTGGAAAGTGAGACAACACTAATAACTACCCAGCAGAGCTTCTAAAATTCATAGCTCAGAGAAGGAATTTTAGTTTCCAACATTGAGCATTGATAAAGACAGTAATGAACTTATGAATGTGTTCTATACTTTTAAAAGAAGTTGTCCAGAATCTAGTTTGCTGCTAGTGTTACAGCAAGGAAGCACACATCAGTAATTGCAGCTATAATCCACTTTCCTTTTTGCTTTTCTTCCAAAATTCCTCAAAAATTGAGTGTGTCAAAAGTGGTTTGAACTGGACATGGTATTTGAAATACTTTTTGACTGGCCATAGCAATTATTTCTGCCACTGGAAAAAATTAAATAGGAGAAGAAAGTAGAATTTTTCAGTTCAAGAGTGCCAAGAAATCTGTTGTTTATAGTAAAAGACTGATTTGGTGTGTATTAGTGAAAATTGGTTTGCTGAGTTCTCCTTGCTTGTAAAAATTAACTCTCAACTTCTTTCCCTCTGCATTTTGCATATAGAATTGTAAAGTAGGTGTTTATAGCATCAGCATTTTAAAGGCACTGATAGCTAGGCGGATACTGTCTTAGGAGTGCCAAGAATTTTCTTTCCTTTTTATCACTGTTTAGCACATAATTTCCCCTGCTCTTTCCGCTGTCTGTAAGAGGAGAGTCAAGTCCCTTTTTGTTAAATTCTCCATTTCTCCTTTTCCTCCTGATTAAAGTTCTGATTGGGTTCTTCTTGTTAAATCCCCACAGAAACAAGGGTTCTGTATGCAAGACCTTAAGAGCAAAAGGCAAGAAACTGAGGAATCAGATCTGTGTTCTCCTGTCCCCTTCTCTCAATAGTGCTTTCAGTAGACTGGTCTGCACACAAGACAGGTTTAACTACACCTAGACAAGAACCGCTCCTAATTTGCCTCTCCTCCTATTACCACATCAATGACTGGTCAGCCAATTCCATATAAATCAACGGGGAAAACATTAAGGAAAAACTGGCAGATGCTTTCATTTAAAGATTTTCAGAGCAAATATAATGTGTAGCTTGGCAAATGGCCTACTAAAATAGTATATTCGATATATACAACAGATTGAGCCAGCTAGCTTTTGGTTTTTTTCAGAGGAGACTCTTCTTGCCTTGACACTGCAGCTTTTTTGGTGGGAAAGATACTCCATAAAACCCAGCTCCTCCATAAAACCCAGATCCTGCAAGAACAGAGGAATTGTTTGCCTGGTGACATTTTCAGTGAGCAATACAGGCAGACTGTCCTTTTGCTTTTGATTTTCTCTACGCAAAAATGTACTCTATTCTACTTTTGGTACTTTATTAAGTGCCTTTGAATAATAATAGCAGTTTGTTGGGCTAATGTGCCTAAAAGAAGTTCGGGTGATGGTTCTTACAGATAGAGTATATACCAAACAGAGCCAGAACAGCTTTAATTTCTTTGAATCTAACGTTGTCTTTTCTATGTATTTTGTTTCAGAATTAAAGTGGCTCAGCAATCAGTAAGTAAGTTAACTGCAGAGAAGAAAGTTGAAACGAAGAAAATCAATCCTACAGCTAGCCTGGTATGATGTGTTTCTCAGTATGACATTCAGAAGGGTTTTTGTGACACTATTCTTGTCATTCCGAATGATGGGAGGTGTCTGCTGTTGTTGAAGTGTGACATAGTATGCTTAGTTTGAATGTAGCAGAGTGATTTTCTTCCTAAGGAGAAATCTTTAAGCTTATGCCCTACGGTAGTCCAACAGTTAAGTTTAAAACTTAGTTTAGTTGTGCCTAAGCATGGTTCTGCTATTTTATATGACAAAATATGGTAAGAGCTGCTTTTCTGGTTCCTTCCGCCCTCCCACTGAAGTCTGTTGTATTTTCTTCCATGCTCCGTAGTGCATTCAGGCTCGCTGCATATATTTGTCCAATGACTGAGCATGTGTTTTTTTCCAAAATCTTTTTTGCTCTGTTAAATAATGGTAGAAGGGATTAAATCCCCATTTTGTTCCTTGCTGTTTTCCTTTTTTTTTTTGATACAACACAGAAGGAGGACTAATAATTTACACTGTAGATAAAACCTTTTTTGTCTGTGTGCAAGGCACATAGGTTAGATCAGCATTTCTCAAACAGTAGGATGCAAGAGACTAAGGGAAGGAAATGTACATGAAGGAATCAGTATATTATTTCCATTCCCAGCAGAGCATATCAGTTGCAGGACAGCCAGCAGAGATATGAATGACTACACGTGCTTGGGAAGAGGTCATTAAACAATATAATCTAGCTAATGCTAAATTGGAGCCTTTGTGTCAGCAGAAACCATTCCAGACAAGAGGAGGTATTAGATTCACATGAATTTGAAAAGTATCTGGTTTTCTCTAGCTGCACTGGTCTTCACAGAGCTGTGTATTTTTAAAGGTACACAGTATTTGACAAGCGTGTAGCTAAAGCAAGCTCAGTTTCTCTACAGTAAGTAATGAACTGGTTCTAAGCCTTCCTTGAGTGCTCCAGGTGTTAATTTTTTTTAATTAAAGAAAACTCTAATCTACTGTGACTCATTTAGTACTTCTCAGATTTCTAGACCAAATGCTCATGGCAACTTGAGAGGAGATGGAAAATTATAGACAAGAATGATAATAAAACTGTTTCTTTTTCTTTAACAGAAAGAAAGACTACGTCAAAAGGAAGCCAATGTGACTGCCAACTGAAAGAAGAAAGATGAAAATGTTAGCGTGACTTCATACCTTGCATGATGCTTTACTACACCCATGGCCCAGGGAGCACCTTATATTAGATACTGAATTTTGCTTTGCTGATCTGTTCCAAGACAATCCACTAAAGACTTTTCAGTTCCTTCGGAAGGGTTTGTACATTCAGTGGAGGGGATTCTAAGAAGGTTTTTACATGGGAAGTCAAAACTATTTTCTGTCACTCTTCCTTACATTGCTTAAAATGCATCTGTTTGTTAACGGTTATTTAAAGTACTCTGTGCATAATGCATTAATATGGAAGAGCTAAAATGAGCATTTTGGATGCTGAGTTAAGTAATGACTAACAACCTGCAGGTTATTTACAGGGCTTTTTGTAGATGAGAGCAAATATACCATTCAGCTCACAAAAGACTCACATCATACTTTTTGTTACTTCAGCAGTAACTGAGGTAAAATTGACTGATTCTAAATTATTTTACAGTGTCTTAAGTATTGGATGCATCTTTCTAAAACTGATTAAATGTAATTATAGATTTATGCTGTATTTTACTATAAATATTTTTATAGAAGCTTCAGCTTATGCCATACATTGAAATGGAAACAATATTTTGCACATGAAAAGGAATAGCTTCAAATTCTTTAGTTTTATGATTGATGGCATAACTGATTCATTATTTTTATGGTTTTAACCTAACATTTCCTAAATTTTGAGCTTCAAAAGAAAAATGATAAAAATGTATATTTTTATTTCAGTATATATTGAAAATATCAATTCCATAAAATGATGGTTTTATTAGTCATTATTCATTGAACTAAAATACAACAATATGTCTCCATGAAGTTGCACATTTGCCATTAAATCTCTGGCTTTCAATTCTATTGAAAGCTTTCTTTTAAACAGTTAATATCTCACTCTAAAATATATTATGCAGCCTGCTCTTGTCCCCCTATATTTGTATGAAGAATGTGTCCAGCATACATATATATATAATTTAATTTAATAAGTAAAACTTGAGGAAGAAATAAAAGAGTCTCGCTGTCCTCCTGTAACATTATAACCATTGCCCGTAAAGTAGCAGAGCCTGAAAAACCCCCGCAGAATATCCACTGTTACTTGAATGTTCTTACTGCATTTTAAGGATTTGGACTCTTAGAAGGTGAGATCTTGAAGCAGAAGTTAATTTAAGGTAAAACAGAAAAGTGATTTTTAAATACAAGTAGGTAACGGCCTATAAATAGGAACAACAAACTGGGGAAAACATCCTTCTGCTTGCTGTCTGTAAAAGACAAATCCCCTTCTTTATGATAATGGTGTCTGAAGTTGGTGACAAAGAGAAATTAGGTGAAACAAAAATGTACAAAAAAGTAATGGGGGAAGGTATTAGTCCTTTGCTTAGAAGCTGGAAAAAATATACATGAGACAGACATGGGTTATCCATACAGCAAATTAGATAGAGAAACTGCGATGAAACCTAAGGCAAAGTCGTCCCTAGAAGTGTATGCTTATTAAGGAGAACAGCAGTTGTGGACACCCCCATTCATGAATTAACTTGAAGGTTTCATATATTGCACGTTTCTTAAATGAGTATCTCTCTCATTCCTTCATAAATAAAAATAAGGGGATCAAGATTCCCTTGTATGTTTTGGAGTTTCTAGCTGCTGCAGATATACTCGAGATGTGTAAGCATAATTCTTATGAAAACAGTCAATAATATACCAGCAAAAATAATCTGATTTGTAGTTTGACTATTGCCATTGCAGAGAAATAAATTCCAAAGATTTAAATTTTCTATCTTCCACCAAATAGGTAAAGTACATTTGTTTCCAGTATTATTAGTGATAAACAACAGGAGCAATAATGCTTGTAAAAGCCAAAGAACAACAGCAAGCAAGGCAATTCTGATGAGTGTTTAAGCAAACAAGTGTTGAGTTTTGATATAGTTTTCTATCTATCATGAAGATAGTGTGTATTGCCATTTGACTTGATCGGGAATTTTTCAATGAAATGTTTCACTTGAAATATTAATCAACAAGAGTAGCACTGTTTGTGAGAAAGGATTGGTCTTCAAAATTCTCATTAGAAATATATTATGGAAAAAAGTTTTTAAATTATTGAAATATCCTGTTTCAAAATTTTTAAATGTGAAGTTTCATTTTTCAGTTCAAATTGACTTTTCATTTTGAAATGTTGAAAAATGTATATAAAAAGGGATTAAAATTAAAATTATTGGTGTAAAGCATTCCTTGATGAGATTTATAATTCTTTTTTCAGATTATCAATTTGCCAAAGTTTTGAGAATTTAGGCTATTTTTTCAGAAGATTCAAAAACTTATATAGCACAGAGACATTGTTTCTTCCTCATCCTCAATTCTGCTGATTTTACTCTCGAGACAGAGATTCTGATTCCAGCTTCACCCATGACTTAAATCCTCCTACTACTAGTAGAGGATTTTTATTTTTAAATGAAAAAAAAGAATTCACCCAGACTATTTGATTCATTCTCTTAATCAAGACTTTAAGACTCTTGGATGGAATTTGTCAGCTAAATATCACACTTGCACCCCTAGTGATACCCAGAAGTGTCTTCAGACAGTGATTGAAGTGACAATGGTACACCTGCTGACCTTAACTAAAATGTTGTATTAGAGAAGAGAAATTAACAGTATTATATATGTAAGCTGTTCAATTATGAAATATTTAGACACTACAGACATAACACGTGGGCATCAACCAGCATTCATCTTGGGGTCACCAAGTGTCACCAAAAGTTGTTTTAAGCTTGCATTGAGTTTGGTGCCTGACTTTACCCTGAGCTTTCTAGTTTGGGGGGGATAAAAGGAGAGAAGGAGAAAAGAAAGAAAATAAAAAGATGGACTGGAACAGAAATCTCTGGTACGTGTCTACATTGCTGTCAAGGAAGTAAAAGTAAAGAGTGGACTAAATTAAGCCAAGCAGCAATAGCTAGACAGTTACAATTTTCTGGGCTCTGTAATTTAAAATACCTCTACACTACAGAGAAGTCACTTCTGTGACCACAAAGTAGATGTGGCTTAAGAGGGGTTTTTTTTCTGTTTTTTATTTTGTTTTCTACTCTCCTGTTATTGCCAAGCTTCTCAAAGTCTGTAAAGCAAAGCACTATTAAAACCCATATTACTCAGTATGTGCTTACTACCCAGGAAAGTTATATACATTACTGATTTATAAATCAAATTATTAGGAAGAATTCAGTGTAGATGAGTAAATATCAGTAATTTCTGAAGTGCTCTTTACCTTATTTACAACATTACCACTTACTGATTTTAAAATGAAAAACCTTTTAGGGTCTTTGAGATATTTTGACAATATAAATTATATTTTCATTATGTTTTTATTAATCTATGAAAACTACCCAGGTGTTTTGCCATGACTAACCCATGTAAATGTTTTATCATGCGCTTTATTATAGGGTTGTAAATGTATAGATTGAATAATATTATACTTTTGTATTTAACAGAATTTTTTTGCAGCAAAACAGAAACTGCATGATCTTCAGTTTCTGTACATACAGAACATTAAAGTAGAATGGATGGAATATTGAGAAAGCAGAAAGAAAAATAATTGAACGTCTTAGGCGGTTCTAGGAAGGATAAAGTTTACATAGGATTTCAACCTTTCTGAATTGCTGAGGATATGTCCTCCAGCCAGATATAAACAGCCAGGGTATCTCTGACCAGTCTAATTTTTTTCTACATGAAACATGAATAAAATATTTTGTTTTCCATGTGACATACAGGGTTCTTATTGCCCTGATTCTCCAGTAAATTGTTAGCAATTTCTTTCTTATATCTACACATCTTTCCTAGCTGATTAATATGGGACAGTGGTATTAATATGGGACTGTGTATTTACTTATTTAGTAATACTATTTCTTTATTGCTTCAGGTCAATATCTTAAAAATGGATGCCTTAATCTTGTGTGGGTGTGGAATTTCAGGAACACCCAAACAAGTTAGAAATATTCTTCTTATTACAGCATTGATGTGTTTTTGAAAATCCACCTCCTTATTCTATGTTTAGACACAAGTCTAAGCTTATAATTTCAGAAAATCATATCCATGTAGTTTTTGCTCATTCTTGGCCTTGTCTCAATCTTGTTCAATATTGTTATGGATCTCGTTCTTTCTTTTTTCTTGTTCTTTCCTTTTTTTTTTGTTTTTAAATGCCTTTAGAATGTATTAATGCCAGGTAGTGGATTTCAGGATTTACAGTCTGGAGAGTTCTCTTTGGCATTATTCTTTTGAAAATAAGCCTGTGTATTTGCATATAAAGAAAATAAAAAAGTTGAGGTAACTTGTTTATAGTCAATAAGTTGCTTCAAAGAGAGAAAATACTAGGAACTAAATGGTTCCTTGAGCCAGCAAGGAAAAATATAACAAAAACAGTTCAAATAGAACTAGACAGAAAAATGTAACAATAAGTATGTCAAAAGACCAAATAAAATATTTTTTTCTCAGCTGTAATGAAATATTCTTATCCAAGTTAGAAGAGCTCTTTGTTGTGATTTTTAAATTTAAAATACCACAAATAGTGTGGTGTAGAACAACATAATGCAGGAAACCATTGTCAAATTAGAAACGTTTGTATTTCAAATGATTAATTAGTTAATATGTCTGATGCATCTTGTAGTATTTACAAGGTAGCAAATTCATGTACTCAGGAATTCAACACTGTTTTAGAGATTCCCAATCTAGGTCTGAGAAAACTGGCATTTTGGATTGCACAATGTGAAATCCCAGAATCACAGAAACCCTAGTTCCTTAGTATTTGTCAAAGGTTTGAGCATATGCAAGGGAGTTTACTTTGGGTACAGCTAACGTGATGCAAAATTTAAACAACAGTCTCTCCTTTTAGTGAATTATTAGATATGACCTGTTAATATCATTACCAAACATTTCCACTGCTCAATAGGGTTTGAGCCATAACAATTTTATGCAATTGTTGATCTAATGTTCAAAACTTATACAAGCAAAATTGGTAAAACTCTTCAAAAA